ATTACCGCGCGATACTACTTATTCACAAAATGACTTGTTTTAGTTGCAATGTTTCTTATTCGTGTATCGTATATATGGTCGACTTTGTTTTGTGACTGTAAGCTCACAATGGTAAACCAATTCAATGTTGCTCAGTGGAAGATGAGTAAAGACCTGTACACAGATTCATCGACTAACTATACCAGGACGTTAGCTACAAAAATGGACTCGCATTTTTCGATTGTAAGAGAAAGTCTACATGGTTCTTGTTTCGCAAATCGATTGTAAGGCAAACCTACGTGGCATAACTGATAATTTAGTGCGCAAAAATATTGCTTTTGTGCGGCTAACATATGTTGAGTTCGAAATCGAAATCCGCGAAGAATTCTCGAATGATTATTTAAAACCTTCAGATGATTTCTTAAGGAGTCTGCCTACTTTTGTAACTGCGCATCCTATCTGCGCATCACACAAGGCATGGTTTAAGTGCCATGGGCGTGCTGGGGTTGACATTGACGCAATAAACTACGTTACCAAGTACACGACTAAAAAAAAGCAAAATTTTCCAACTGTGACTAAATCAAGGTTAATGAACCCGTACTTAAATCAGGAACAGCAAAATAGCAGCATACCACTAACCACTAACTGTTAACGTCTTCCAGCTGGAAAACTAGCTGTTATCTGGCGAGAATTATATTGAAATCCAACTGTAAACAAGTACCAGCAGATGGCGTAGTGCGCGCGCAAAGCAAGTACGAAATACTCAAATGTTTTACTTACTGGGGAGGTGACAGGAAAAAATGTAACGGGCACCGTAAAAGTTTTCAAAAAAACATCAATAACTTTAAAAAACGCGTGGTTACCCCCACATTTTTTGTTATGAAATGGAAGTGGCAAGCCTGTTCAACACGTGATTAGTTTCTGGTTGTGAGCAAAAAGTATTTAGACTGTATTTTGGCTGAACCAGAGGAAAGCTGTCAGAGACGCTAAAAGCGCTGGTGCAACGATTTTGTTATTAAAAACATACCAAAAATGGATTTTTTGTTACCATTTACCATGCAGTTTTAAGATCTTTATAAATGTGTTTGCTTTTCTGTTTATAAAAGAGAATTCGAAGGAAATTTGTGAAGAAATATTCTTTCCTTCTTTTTTTCAGAAAATGTTGATGTCAGCATTTTTGCTGAGATTCAAGGCTGATTATCTCGGAAAAATGCTTGGCTACCCCAATTTGTCTTTTTGGATTCCAATGGCCCTTGCAAAGATCTACTTTTTCGGCGTGCTTCTAACCCGGCGCAAAAACCTTTGTATTTAGTAGGCACCGTCCTTAAACACAAGAAACCATAAAGCAAACGCTGCCTTTCAGTAAACACTACTGTGTGCGCCAGTTAAGAAAAGCAATGAAAAAGTTTCCAGTTGAACATGTTTGGGTTTACTGTCCGTGGGTACTAAAAAGACCTCCCTGGCTTGCCTATATCAAGAACAATTAGAAAACAGCCCTAACAAAATACGCGCGCTGATTGGTTTAAAATCGTGTTTCTATAACTCGATAGAAACATAGGACTAGCACGAGCTGTTGACGTAATGATGGCGCGAGCAAAGGTAATTTACATTTTGATAATCAAAGTTAACAATTTTTTTTTAAAAAAAAGAAATAGAAAACATGTTCTCCGTGTTTCTATCGAGTTTTAGTAGAATTCCACCAGTATACTAATGCAAATGCTGCAATCTGATTGGTCGAGCTACTCGTATACTATCAGCCATTAGAGTGCAGTGGCTGTCGGTCGTCCACGAAATGCGACGTCTTTATCTTTTTTCCGAAGTTTTGGAAGAAAGTTTGGATGTGAATGGATAGTTAAATCCCTGAGAAGACTAAATGAAGGACATTAACGGTTTCTTGACTTAAAAAACTTGAACCCGGATAGGCCTCCTAAGGATGGCCGAACCCTGCTGGATTTGTTGGACATTTTCGATCTCCATTGTCTTATAAACAAAGCAACTCGAAAAGCTAGAACTTCAGAAACATTGCTGGATGTTACCCTGACCAACAACAAGAAAACAGCTTTGAGCTCTGATGTTGTAGATACGCAAATTAGTGATCACTCTCTTGTTTATTGCATTCTCCGATCCAGAGCGCCG